TTGGTATATGTATCCATAGATGTGTGTGTGTGTGTGTGTGTGTGTGTGTGTGTGTGTGTGTACAGAAAGAGAGAGCACAAAAGCAAGAATGTGCTCTAGTGACTTAGAGGGTAAGGAGTTGTGCTGCCATCCCAAAAGCATTCTGTTTAAATCTCCCAGCTACTTCTTGGAAGAAATACAAGCAATCTCCTTCTGGTTCAATTTATAGCCTCTGAAAACCTGGAGGGTCAGCTGTAATGTCATCTTGATGGCAGATAACAGCAACAACATATATATGTATATTTATTTCTGTGTGGTTACCATGAGTCAGAACTGACATAACTAACAGTTGTGTGTGCCATCGAATTGGAACCAACAAATAACTGACCTTCCAGCAATTTTTCAGAGGCATTTTAATTGCACAGGAGGAGGTTGCCCCTCTTTCTGCAGTGAAGTACCTGGTGGACTTGAACTACATGCCTTCAGGATTCAGTGCAGCTAAGGCCACAACGTAATTAAATGGCAACTGTTTTTCTGTTTCTTTTTTGCTAGGCAAAATCATCAAAAGACACAGAACACATTTCAGTTCTAAAATAATGAGTCTCCTTTCTCCCACAGAGTTGTGAAGATGTCCTGTGGGTTGCAATAATGTCGTTGAGATTCTCTAAAATAGCCAACCCTACATGGGGTTACTTATGCAGTGAACTTGGGCTGCATCAAGAACAGTCACATTGACTCATATCCTGTCTCCTCTTTGTCTCCTTCCTCCTCTCCCCTCCTCACACTTCTTCCTCCTGAACATTTTCTACCTTTTCCACCCTGACAAGACACAGCTACTCTTGGACAGACTCCTCCAGCACCCAAGAGGAAGGAGGGTGGAATTTAGAGGAAGTATTCTATTACTATATGTGAGAATCACTCTCCAAAAAGCGGTATTCCCCCCAGACTTCTCTCCCCATACCCACTCCTTTAATACAAAGCCTCACTACATTGGGTATATGGAAGATTTTCTAATGAAAGAAAAGACTTGTTAGTTGTTACTTGTCCTCAGTCCTCAGTTGTGAACTTTACATTGCCTGCCTAGTACTGCAGTGTACAATGTATCAGGCTACTAACCTAGAGGTCAGAAGTTCACATCCACCAGCCATTTAGAGAACAGTGGGCAATCTTCTTCTATAAAGACTAACAGCCTCAAAATTTCAATGGAAGGTTACTGTGAGTCAAAGTGACTCAATAGCTGTGGTCTTTAACATGTTGCTGCCAATGACGGTAAATGTGCTTCTAAGCACGGTTGTCAACTTAAAAAGTGTGCGGCAATGTGTTAAGAGATTTTTTTTTTACCCACTTAGCAAAATTTATTCTACGTATTATCAATAGTACATCACATGACCAGTTCTAGTTTCAAGGGGCTGTGAAAAATTGGCATTTAGGTGCATTCCTATCTTAAGGAAAACCACGCTTCCATCAGCCAAAGGACAGGAGACAACTGACAGTCTATCAGTGACAATGACAAGTTCTCTTATACTGCTGAGCTGTTAAGACGAGCCCCTTGCTTGATCCTGCTTTCGTTTTTTTTTTATTATTATTAATTTCAATGAACATCTACAGAGATTTTGGACTTCCATTCATTCATTGTTGTACTTTTCTCCCCGCCCACCCCACCCACACCCCCAGTTCGCTCCTCTCCTTGAAAAGCAAAAGACAAACTCCTTCATTGGTACACCGCCACCCCCACTCCTACTATACTCCACTCTGCAACCCTCATTCCGGACTCTTATGATAATCATAATGCCTTAAAATATATGACTTTTAAACTATTCTCTCTCTTAAGAGACATTTTGAGCATAATTTAGGTGACTTAGTAGTAGTTAAAAGCAGAAATAACTCACAGATGTTGAATTGATGTTTCTTTTGTTCAGTAATTTCCAGTTGATGGTCAAAGTTGTTTAGAATCATTCCATGGACCTTACTGCTTACAAGGGGTTTGGTTTTTCTGGAACAGCATTTAAATACTTAAGGTCATCTCCTGAGGACTTAAAAAGGAGTAGCTTTCTGAACTTAAGGAGCTTGTTAAAAAGACCCTTGTGGTCTTGTAAAAATTTGTCTTCCCAGGAACCCCAGAGAAAGCATTGAAAAATAAAGAAAACCACTAAGAGGCTGCCCAGCAGAGCCTGTGAACTTTTCTTCCCCTCAGGAGTGATGGCAGGCATGTGAGGGGCCAATGAGTACAGTCTTGGGGCTTGGGAAATCATCTCCACCTCATTCCCTTATCTGAACCACTTACTCAGTGTCTCGGTATCTCAGAAACAAAGGACTGTGTAGTGAGAATCAGTGGCCAGCGGAGCAGAGCATAAAAAAAAAAAAAAGGAACTACTGCCTCCTCTGAAAATAGCGTCTGCACTCATAAAAGGAAACTTATAAGAGGTTATAAATTAGATTGGAAAATTAGAAACAACTCCCAGAAACATTTAACATAAAAAATGAAGTGGTGGGGAGAAGGAAATAAGGATGGATGGCTTTGTTTGTAGTTTCACAAAGCAGAACAGTTTAAAAATGAAAATAATTTTAGGCTCTCCCCTCTACTAAATTCTGTTTGCTTAAAAAATATATTGGCATTGTGTTAATGAATTAAGTCTTTGCCTGGAACTGAGATGTGCAATATTTTAGAGAATAAATGTTATTGGGAACTTTGCCTTAGTTTTGAATATACAAACCCAAATTTTGTTTGTGTGTGTTCTTAGCATTTTATTCTATATAAGTTCTCCCCATCCTGCAAAAAAGGAACTTGCATCACTTCAGCTTACATGTTACTGGCCCAGAACCCTCTGAGTAGTTACATCTGTTTGTTGTTATTGTTGTTGTTAAGTGCCATTGAGTCATAGGCGACTCTTAGCGACCCTATGAACAAAAGTCCTCGACACTTGTGTGACTTTCATCCTTTCTCCAGGTTCATAGGGTTTCCAGAGGCAAGCTATTTACAGAAGTGGATACCCCTCCTGCTTCCAAGCTTGTTTTAACTGGGGAGCGCCACCAAACACTGTCTGTCATGGGGAACCATTATCGCATTTGACACGTCAGTGTCACAGTGTTCAGCTTCACAGCAACCACAGGTTTCCTCTGTATGGCAAGTGGACACACCAGGGCTATACGACCTAGAAAAATGTTTCACTAAAAACAATTAAACACAGGCCTTAGGGCCTCAGATTAGAGTTACCCACCTTTGGTTTTGGCATCACTTTCAGTCCTCTAGGCCAGCTGGTCTCTCTCTATGTTGTTAAGTGCTGTCGAGTCGTACATAGGTGATTCATAGCGACCCTATGAAGGAAAGTCCTCAACATTTGTGTGACTTTCATCCTCTCTCCAGGTACATAGGGTTTCCAGAGTCAACCTATTACAGAAGTTGATGCCACTCCTGCTTCCAAGCTTGTTTTAACAGTGTCCACCTACATCTGCTTAGTTAAAAAATAATAATAATAATAAACACTTTTCTTTGGGCACTTACTCAGTATTGGAAGTTCTGGGTGTTAAAAGCAAGTAAGTATTTCTGTTTAAAGAATAACCTGCACTTGACCCAGGCCATCATATTTTCATTTGCTTCATACTCATGTGAAAGTTGGACAAAGAATAAGGAGGATCAAAGAAGAATTGACGCCTTTGAATTGCGGCATTGGCGAAAAGTATTGAACTAAACCATGGAGTGCCAAAAGAATGAACGAATCTGTCATGAAAAAAAGTGCATCTACGTGTAGCAAGAGGGGTGAGACTTTGTCTCTCGCATACTTTGAACATGTTGACAGGAGGAGCTAGTCCTTGGAGAAGGACATCATAGTAGGGGGTCAGTGAAGAAAGGAAGAGTATGGATGACATAGTGACTACAACAGTGAGCTTAAAACCACAGCAAAGATTGTGAGGATGGCCAGAATCAAGCAAAGTTCTCTCTGCTGCACGTAGGGAGTTGGAGTCTACTCCACGGCACTCAACTACAAAAATGATCTGTCGGTTCCAATTTAGTAGATATTTCTGGACAGATTTTCAGCATGGTTGTACAAGTCACCTTCCCACCAGCAGTTTGTGACAGCACTAGTTGCACTGTCATCCTTTAATATCTGTCAGCGTCTGCTTTATCTTTTAAATATATTTAAGCATTGCTCGAATTGCTTCCATGAGTTGTTTCTTGCTTTAAGCATGGTGAAGTTTTGCTCTTCTTTTTTTGGCATGACTAAAAGAAATTAAAAATTTTGTCTTTTCTAAAAAATTTTAAAATATTTTATTTCTGTATTCAAATCTCTCTCATAAAAACTTTTAAATAGGAAAAGGCATTTGGGTTTTAAAATCTGACTGAATATTTAGGCTGCAATTGGCATTTTGGCATTTCAAGTTGTTGTTGTTGTTATTGTTGTTGTTGTTACGTGCTGTCGAGTCACCAGCAACTCATAGAAACCCCGTGTACAACAGCCCTAAACCGAGCTCTATCCTATGTCAATCTTATTGTCTCTGATACACCAACCCCCCATTACCCCAGTCTCTGAATCAGTCCCTCTCATTGAAGCCCTTCCCACAATGTCTGCTACCCAAAGAACTACAGCACTGCTTTTTGGACAGTGAAGTCAAACAGTGTAGAATTAGAAACGAGGAAAAAGAATACTTATACAAACATTTCTTTCAACCTCCATTTATAATATTTAGCCTTAAATACTTCCTTTCCTCTTGCCAAGACAGTTCTTCCTTTTAAAGCTCTTTGTAGCCCACTCCTTGTACAAATGACTCTTACATCCTTGCTTATCTCCTTTCTTTTTTGAAAGAGTATTCATGGAGGAAGAGTCATTTGGCTTTTGAAATTCAGTTCAGCTGCTAAGATGCCCGAGAATTTCCTCTTCTGCAGTGAATAAAACCCCTAACATGCCTGCCACATGACAGACTGTATCCAGTGTGTGTCTGGATTGCATTTCCTTTAATTTTGTGAACAGGATGCCATGTTCTTCAGCAGATTTCTCAGAAATACTAACATTGCTTCTTTTCAGAAATTTGGAACAATTCGGGCAGATTTAATTGAGCAAATGAGATTCAAACAGAGACTGAAAGTGATCCAGACCCTGGAGGATACTACCAAACGGAATGTGGTGAGTCCTTTGAGAACTAGCACGTGGTCTTCTCCCCTCCATCATTCCTCCTGCTATCAGCTCAGAAATACCATCCTGACAAAACTAAAAATGGTTTAAAAGAAGGAAAAACTTTCCCAATATGGTATATTTTGAGTTTGTGAAATTCTTTGTGTATTTTTGTGTAGGTGCGTACCATCGTGACGGAAACGTCCTTCACTATTGACGAGCTAGAAGAACTTTATGCTCTTTTCAAGGTAACTTTACAAGTAATCTCATGTACACTTATTAGGAGGGGGAAATCCCTTTAGTAGTTCAGTTAGGATTTTTTTTGTTTGTTTGCCTTTTGTTGAATGAAGGCTAGGATGAACCTCAGGATATGTAAGTATGAAGACAGAGTTAAAAATGTAAAACTGGAGTACTTATCATCAACATTCTTATAATTAAAGTCAGTATTTTTTTTTCTTTTCCAATCCATGTAAAGTAGTCTAAGACAATATATTTGGAACAACAGTGATTAAGTTTAAATCTTACCTAACATTATTGTAAATTGTAATTTCATATAGAGGTAATTTTTTTTTCTTTTGAAGGAATAAATGTTCTTTATACAGCCTAGTTAATGTTTAAAAAGAAAAAAATTAG